TTTCGTTTATTTTTATTTGAAAGACCACCCTGAATTTACATCAGGTGTGGGGTCTGAACATGACCCGTTTAACAAAATTGGAATTGCAAACCGCCCTGGAAAAAGCGGGCATTGAGTATCCAGCTACTGCTACCGTGTCACAACTACGTGCCTTGTTGGATGAGGACGATGGAGATTCTGGTGTTACTGCTGCTACTGATGCCGGCGGCGAAGCTCATGATGGTGAAGGTAACGTGGAAGAAACTGATGATACACAAAATTTGGATGAACAGATAGCAGTGTTAGAGAAACGCAAGAAAATGCTGTTGTTACAAAAGGAATTGCAAGCGCTGGAATTAGAAGCTACTAGTGCACGTCAGCGTATCACCGTTATGGATATTGATGGGATGGTGCCAAAATTTTCTGGAGATAATGCATATCCAGTGGAAAAATGGATCAACGATTTTGAAAACGCCGTCAGAGTTGGAAATAAAGATGACCACTTTAAGTACATGTGTATGCGTCGCTTGTTGTCGGGTACAGCGGCCATTTTCTTACGTACATCAGTTGCATCGAATTATTGCGAGTTGAAAGCTGCACTTGTAAAGCAGTTTCATCGAGACGTCTCGACCAACGATGTATATAAGGAGTTGTACCGACGCCGGCGCTCACCTAATGAAAGTATTATTGCATATATGCTGTCGATAAAGGAGATCGCAGCACAGGCAAATTTAAACGAAGATGAAATAATCAATGCAGTGATTGAGGGTCTGCGTGACAACACCGCTTATACTTCAATATTGTACACAGCTAAAAACTTGGATGAGCTCCAGCAGCTTCTTCTTAAATATGACAAAAAGAAAACAAATGACAACACAACACGAAAAGTGCAGGCTTCAGAAGGTGGCAGTAAGACAGTCTCGTCCACAAGGTGCTTCAACTGCTCGCAATATGGACACTTCTCACATCAGTGCACAGAACCAAAGCGTATCAAAGGCTCCTGCTTCCGATGCGGCAGCAAAGATCACATGCTTAATCAATGCAAGCAGCCACCAAAGAAAACCGTAAACGCTGTAGATGAGGAAGCAACCCATGAGGATATGATGTCGAATGTTGAACCCTACCAAACTGTAAGTATTGCTTTTTGTAATCGGAACATGAACAATAAAAAGTTTACGAAGTGTATTTCTTTGATTGACAGTGGTAGTCCTGCCAGTTTTATAAGCAAGACGCTTTTGCCTTTTGATACAAGTATCGATGAATTGATTGTATCCAATTTTTACAGCCTAGGTGGCAATAAACTGAAAACTTTTGGAAAAATTGATTGTGAGATTTTGCTCAATGGCAAATCTAAAATAATTTCATTATTTATTGTTTCGGATGGTATATTATCTCAGCCTTTGCTTCTCGGAAGAGATTTTTTCAAATTATTTAATATTAAACTTTATATGTTAAATTGTAACGAGCTCAAGTTGGAATTAAATGAGTTGAATTCAAGTGTGTCTTTAATTGAAAATATTGTTCAGGTTCCAGATAATTAGCAACATTGTTATATTGATTGTCCTGTTGATCATTCCATAACTCCTATTGTTGATGCCAATAACTGTGGAGGCATTCCCGCAGATAGATTGCTAGGGGACTCTCTTTCAAAGAATGCTCATTGCGCCGTTGGGGCCAGTATTGTTGAAGAATTGCATAGTGAAATTTCTAGTGATGAATGGAAAGAAGATTGTTTTTCCTTTATTGAAGGGAATATTACATGCGCGATTGATGTGGAAGCCGTTTGTAATAGCAGTGCTAGTGATTATAATATTGATTCCGCTTTGCATAGTGACGCACGCTTAAAAATAAATCGTATTATTCGTAATTGTTATTTAGAATATCCAAAGGAGTCAAGCGTAAAACCCTATGAAATGTCCATTAAGTTGACTTCTGAACAACCAGTTTATTCACATCCTCGAAGACTTTCTTATAAAGATAAATTTGAAGTTCAGAAGATCGTGCAAGAGCTTTTAGATAAAGGTATTATTCGCCATAGTGATTCCCCATATGCGTCACCAATAGTGTTAGTTAAAAAGAAAAGTGGTGAAACTCGTATGTGCATTGACTACAGGGATCTGAATAAAATAACTGTTAGAGATAATTATCCTCTTCCTCTCATCGAAGATTGTCTGGAGTATTTAGGTGGAAAAAAATATTTCACATTATTAGACTTAAAAAGTGGGTTTCACCAAGTAAAAGTAACTGAGGAATCAATAAAATATACAGCATTTGTTACACCAAGTGGCCAGTTTGAATATGTAATGATGCCTTTCGGTCTTAAAAACGCCCCTTCCGTATTTCAAAGATTTATTTCTTTTATTTTAAAAGATTTCATTTCAAAAGGCCTCCTAATAGTTTATATGGATGACATATTGCTAGCCACAGTGGATTTAGATGAACATTTAGCTTTATTGGAATCGGTACTGAAGCAGATAGCCAAACATGGTCTTGAACTTAAATTGTCAAAATGTAAATTTTGCCATAGCAGCATTCAGTACTTAGGTTATGATGTTAGTTATGAGGGTATTAATCCAAGTCAGGAACACAAGCAAACTGTCGCGAAATTTCCATTACCGAAAACTTTAAAACAATTGCATTCATTTATTGGCCTATGTTCCTATTTTAGGAAATTTGTTCCACAGTTTTCAAAAATTGCTAAACCATTGTATGATTTGTTGAAGAAAAATTCTAAATTTGAGCTTGACAAAGCCTGTTTGAATGCGATTGCTGAATTAAAAGCGAGGCTCATCGATCCTCCAGTTTTGTCAATATATAATCCCAAAAATGAGACCGAATTGCATTGCGACGCAAGTGGTCAGGGTTATGGTGCTATTTTGTTACAGCGTCAATCAGACGGAAAGTTTCATCCAATTTTTTACTTCTCACAGCGAACCACCAATACTGAGAGCAAATATCACAGTTTTGAACTAGAAACGTTAGCTATCATTTACGCTTTGCGACGTTTTAGAGTTTATCTTGAGGGAATCCCTTTTAAGATTATCACGGATTGTAATTCACTTACGCTTACTTTAAGCAAAAAGACGCTTAACCCACGTATTGCGAGATGGGCGCTCGAATTACAGAACTATGATTATTCTGTGCAACATAGAGGTGGGGCTAACATGGGTCACGTTGACGCTCTCAGTCGCAGCGAGGTAGTTTTTGCTGTTAACGAAGACGATTTAGAGTTTCAGTTGCAGGCAACTCAAAGTCGAGACCCTGATATAGTTAAAATACGGGATAGATTGGAAAAAGAGCCATCGAAACTCTTCGACCTCAAAAACGGGCTAGTTTATAGAAAAGATATGAGAGGTCAGCTATATTTTTATGTTCCCCGAGAGATGGAGGATAATATTATTCGTTGCATACATGAGAAGATTGCTCATTTTGGGGTAGATAAAACTCTTAATCAAATAAAACTACACTATTGGTTTCCGGAAATGAGGTCCAAAATTGATACATTTATAAAGAATTGTTTAAAATGCATTGTATATTCAGCACCTGCTCGAGTCAACGAAAGGAATATTCATAGTATTCCCAAGAAGCCAATACCTTTCGATACTATTCATATCGACCACCTAGGACCTCTTCCTGCTTTAAAGTCAAAACGAAAATTTTTGCTAGTGATAATTGATGCTTTCACCAAGTATGTAAAACTGTACCCAGTTAACTCAACTAGTACTAAAGAGATCGTCGAGTCTTTAAAGAAATATTTTCAATATTATAGTCGACCATCT